CACACACAAAACCGACGACTTCTTAACAATATGTGTTTTTGCTCATCTTAGTAATGTCAAAGTGCTCCGTTGAAAAACCGCATAAAAATGATAGATCATACCGCATGCGAGTAAAAAACACGAATTATTCAACAATACGGGGCGTAATACAAAACGATGTGAAACAACCAGTGAACGAAAAGACAGAGAATCCAAATGAGTGGAAGAAGTGCGAAAAGTTAACGAAAAAGCACTGGTTTCGAAATATTTTTTTACGTTTTTCGAATTAGAGCCCTGCTTTTTTTAAGTTTATAAGAATTGCATTCAACGATTAAATGCACCAAGTTCAATTTGAGTTCAAATTTTCATTAACTGAAACAAAACGAAAGTTAACAAAGTCACACAAATCGATCCAGAAAAGCAAATTTAGGATGAATTTGACCAATCAGAAGCTAATACCCGGGAGCTGTTCTTGGTGGCGGGCAGTGGTCGCATGCTCCTGGCGTACCAGGTGGACCATCCGAACCTGGATCGCCATCCGGACCAGGCTTACCCGGGATACCGTCATATCCTGGATCACCGGCTGGTCCCTCCGGCCCTTCCTGACCTGGTAAACCATCTTCACCGGGACGACCCGGAACACCTGGCTGGCCCTCATGGCCGGGAGGTCCCTCTGGGCCCTCCGGTCCGGGTATATCGATAACAACTCCCGGCTCTCCGGCTGGTCCACATGGCCCCGGCTCACCGGGCGAACCAGTGGGTCCTCGTGGTCCAGGCTCTCCTGGAAGCCCAGGTTTTCCGGGTAGTCCATCTTCGCCTCGCGGACCGGGCATGCCGGGCGGTCCTTTTGGACCTGGGTAACCAGCTGGGCCGGGCTCAGCTTCTTCACACTCAAAACAGTAATCGACTTGCTGTGGGGGTGGCGGTGGTGGAGCATCCGGTCCATCCATTCCTGGCACTCCTGGTAACCCATCCGATCCGTCCATGCCATCTGGCCCGGGAGGACCGGGTGGTCCCGGTGGTGAGACACCGCAACCACAGCATGCGCCACTCGATGGACCCGTCTGGTAGCCTTGGTAGGAAGCGTCGGTTGATGTCTCGCCGTAGCCGAGCTGTCGTTTGTGTCGTTCACTTTGTCGTTCGGCCAAAACCTGAAGGATTTT